CAGCGATGTGACTCAAGCCCTTGAGAGCTACATCTACTCGAGCAATTATATCATTAACTGGTATGTGTCTAGGTGTGACTGCAAAGTTTAGTCCTTTAGCTAAAACGGATTTCAAACCTTCAGAAATAGGACTGTTACTGCGATTAATTACGACTTTGTTAACATCTAGCTTTTCAATGTGTGGGTCCGGTTTCTTGTTTGAGAGGCGGTTGAATTTGGAAATCAAGTTGTCCTTACATTTAGTCGACATAGCGGCAGCTGAAGAGGCAGTCATTTTTTCCACATGTTCCCAATCCGATGTGGACATTGTTACACTCAAAGATAAGTGTGATTTGTAGAGTGTCTTGTCTAACTGATCTAGTTCGGTGCGCGTAAGTCTGATTTTCTCTGAGATAAGAGCTAAACTAGTTCTAGACAGAATTTGTTTCGCATTAGAAGAAGTTACAGCAGCAGATGTTAGTGTAAATGCGTTTGGTATTACCTTAGAGTCGCGGCATCTCTTCAGAAAGGTGAGAGACTCGATTAGCTGAGCCTTCTTATCCCGGAGCTTGTTGAAGGATCTCAAAGTTATGTGGAAACCCTCCCCGTAGAGGCGGTTAAATTTCGATTTAAAGCTTTCGTGACTGCAGGGATTCATCTTCTTGGTTCTTTCGGTAAAGTCACGTAGAAGGGAAGTAATAAAATAATAAAAATAAAACATAATAAAACAATTCTCACGACGTTTCGGCCACAACGCAAGCAGCCGTCCTCAGGTGAAAACCAGGTCCGTCGAGGCGACAGAGTCTGAATGAAACAGCACACGAGCTTGGTGCATATATATAAGCTGGGCGCATTGACAAAGGAATTTGCATATCAAAAGGAATTTAGCATATTTATGGGAAATGCAGGAATGTGATTAGTACTGCATATGCATGTGCATTATGCAGGATTAACAGCATCAAAGGGAGCTGCAGTTACTGCTGCTGCAGCAGTTGCTGCTGCTGCTGCAGTTTCTGCTGCTGCTGCAGTTGCTGCTGCTGCTGCAGTTGCTGCTGCTGCTGCACTTGCTGCTGCTGCTGCACTTGCTGCTGCTGCTGCACTTGCTGCTGCTGCAGTTGCTGCCTTATCCATTTTAATATAACACTATGTATTATTCTACCCACCCTAATGTGTATCATACTGCTATATGTTTACTGTACAATTACGACACCATACATTACTCTGCACACTGCACCATGCCAGTGAGTGGAACGTGGTCTGAAAGTCACCGTAAACGTGAACACAATCAGTTAAGATCCGAAATGGTTTATTACGTCCTTCCAATGATTGCTAAGCCAGAATCCATCTTCTCGGTTGAAATTGTCTCTGTGTTTGTATATGTGGATCGCCTCATGAACGAATCTCTCATGATAGCCAGATGGCTTGCAGAGAACCTCTGTCTTGGAGAAGTCAATGTCATGTGAGCCCACTGAATTGTAACAGTGATCTGCCACGGCTGAGGTGTTTGTCCTACCGTGTTTCAGGTCTGCCTTATGTTCACGGATGCGGTCCGAGACATGTCGTTTGGTTTCCCCAATGTAACTGCTACCACAGAGGCAACTTAGTTTGTAGACGCCAGGGTACTGTATGTCTGGAACCACATCTTTTACAGACGGGACCAGATCACGGATTTTATGTACTGTGTTGAATCGGACCTGGATCTTGTGTTTAATCAGGATTTTGGAGATCTTTTTTGTGACCCCAGCAATGTAGGGTAAGGTGATGGTCTTGAAAGGCTCCTCAACAGGATCCTTCTTGATGGTTGGAGTGATGGCTTTGCGGATTGTGTAGTCGGAGTAACCATTAGCCTTAAGAGCTTGGCGTACGTGTTTGAGTTCACTGGAAATGTGTTCATGGTCGGAGATGCATTGGGCTCTATGATATAGAGTCTTGATGAGGGAATTCTTCTGGGATGGATGGTGGTGGGAATCCGGTTTTAGATAAGCATCCGTGTGGGTGGCTTTCCTGTAGACAGAGTGGCTCATTGAACCATCAGGTCTCCTTTTGATTAGGACATCCAAAAAGGGTAGCTTGCCATCATTTTCGACTTCCATGGTGAATCTGATGGCTGGGTGTATGGAATTGATGTGGTCGAGAAATTGGTCTAGAGCAGGCCGGCCATGTGGCCAGATGACAAAAGTGTCGTCTACGTACCTCTTCCATAAGGTCGGGCGTAGAGTGGCAGTCTGGATGGCGTCCGTCTCAAATTTCTCCATGAAGATGTTGGCTACAACCGGAGATAGGGGAGAGCCCATTGGGGTGCCCTCAATTTGCTTGTAGAAGGTTCCATTCCAGGTGAAGTATGTATTGGTTAAGCAGTGTCTCACCAGGGGGGGTACCCCAGCATTCAGTCCTTGATGAACCAAGTCTTCAATGATTGCGATGGTGTCAGGCACAGGCACCTTGGTGAACAAGGAAACCAAATCAAAACTGACAAGCAGGTTGTCTGGGGACAGGGCAATCCCCTTGATTGCCGATGTTTATACACACCGCACCAGGTACTCATTTGCGGCTGAGTCGCCATAGGGGAGGCCCAGGACCAGTTCAGATAATCGTCACTGGTGTTGGCCGTGAGCAGGATTCGAACCCGGGTCGCCAGGTTCGTAGCGCAGCGCGCTAACTGACACACGACCGCTCCCCCCACACACAATCAGTTCGACAAACACACAACCCGCACATACAAATGCACACATCCATAAATTCCGACCTGCACGCGAACACACAATAGACAACACACAGCACACACATAGGGTACACACATAGAACACACACACACAGTAAACACACACATACATAGAACACACACGCAGTAAACACACACAGTACACACACAGTAAACACACACACACAGTAGACACACACAGTACACACACACAGTACACACACCGTACACACACGCAGTAAACACACACGCAGTAAACACACACACAGAACACACACACAGCCTCCATCATTCCCCTTCAGCGTGCTTAACCCTTTCCCAAACCCCAACCTACTCACCCAGCCCCGCGCCCATCTATCTGTAACCCAACCCCCTTGCGGCCGAACACATCTACCCCCTAACCCATCTACCCCCTAACCCATCTACCCCCTAACCCATCTACCCCCTAACCCATCTACCCCCTAACCCATCTACCCCCTAACACATCTACCCCCTAACCCATCTACCCCCTAACCCATCTACCCCTTAACCCATCTACCCCCTAACACATCTACCCTCTAACCCATCTACCCCCTAACCCATCTACCCTCTAACCCATCTACCCCCTAACCCATCTACCCCCTAACCCATCTACCCCCTAACCCATCTACCCCCTAACCCATCTACCCCCTAACACATCTACCCCCTAACCCATCTACCCCCTAACACATCTACCCCCTAACCCATCTACCCCCTAACCCATCTACCCCCTAACCCATCTACCCCCTAACACATCTACCCCCTAACCCATCTACCCCCTAACCCATCTACCCCCTAACCCATCTACCCCCTAACACATCTACCCCCTAACCCATCTACCCCCTAACCCATCTACCCCCTAACCCATCTACCCCCTAACCCATCTACCCCCTAACACATCTACCCCCTAACACATCTACCCTCTAACCCATCTACCCCCTAACCCATCTACCCCCTAACCCATCTACCCCCTAACCCATCTACCCCCTAACCCATCTACCCCCTAACACATCTACCCCCTAACCCATCTACCCCCTAACCCATCTACCCCCTAACCCATCTACCCCCTAACACATCTACCCCCTAACCCATCTACCCCCTAACACGTCTACCCCCTAACACATCTACCCCCTAACACATCTACCCCCTAACACATCTACCCCCTAACACATCTACCCCCTAACCCATCTACCCCCTAACCCATCTACCCCCTAACCCATCTACCCCCTAACACATCTACCCCCTAACCCATCTACCCCCTAACCCATCTATCGCGATCCTGCAATGTAAATAATCCAGCTCGCATCTTCACATGACCAAATCGTATCGCTCCATCTCCCCGGAGAAACGAGCATCTATCGTACTGCCCCTATCGCACCGTCTCCTGTGATGTCGTTTGGACTGCCCATCAACTATTGAGAGACACTGGAAGATGTGTTGACACTTCACGGAGAATGCAAACTAAACGGGCAGCACATTGGTAGCAACATTTTATGAATTCACTACTAATCTAATCAACTCATCGACACACACGGGGGGTCATGCCAATCACCCCTCCCCCTTTCCATCAGCAGCCAAATAGTATTGAGCCCCTTTCTTCTACCCCACCCCCCTCTGCCCCCTCCCTCGGTTCCTCTCCTCCCATGGGAGAGCTCCCCCCAACGGTGTCTCTCGTCTCACCCAAATCTCTCCCCGTGGCTCTCCTCTCACCCAAATCTCTCCCCGTGGCTCTCCTCTCACCCAGAGCCCCCCCCCCCCCGTGTCTCTCCTCTCACCCAGAGCCCCCCCTCCACGTTTCTCTGTGCTCACTCAGAGCTCCTCCCGTGTCTCTCCTCTCACCCAAATATCTCCCCGTGTCTCTGCGCTCACCCAGAGCCCCCCCCCCGTGTCTCTCCTTTCACCCAGAGGCCCCCCCCCGTGTCTCTCCTCTCACCCAGAGCCCCCCCCGTGTCTCTCCTCTCACCCAGAGCTCCCTCCCCCCGTGTTTCTGCGCTCACCCAGAGCTCCCCCCTCCGTGTCTCTGCGCTCACTCAGAGCTCCCCCCTCCGTGTCTCTCCTCTCACCCAGTGCTCCCCCGTGTCTCTGCGCTCACCCAGAGCCAGCAGCGCTGGCTGCCACTACCTCCCTCGTGTCTTCCCCCCTCTTTCCTCTTCGCATCCCCTCCTCCATGCGTCCCCTCTTTCCCGCACCCTCTCCTCCTCCCAGCTCCACCTCCCCGTACCCCCTCCTCCTCCTCCACCTCCCTCCCCGCCTCCTCCTCCTCCTCCCGCTCGCCGCGTGCTCGCTCTCTTGGACTCGCGCCCAGCCGCGCGCACAGAGCTCGCGAGCACGCGCACGGGCGGGCGCGCGCGTGAGTGCCGAGTCGCTCGCGCCGTGTCGGTCATTCGCGCCGTCGTCGTAGCGGTCATCGTCAATAGCGTCGCTCCAGCGTCGGCACCGCTAAACGACGATCGTCATCATCGTCACGAAGTACTCTTTATGATCATCATTAGCCGACAATCATCGCCACTGGTCTCTCATCATCAGTAGTCTATCGTCACCAGGCACATCATTGCCACTCGTCTGTCATCATTATTCGGCCGTAATGATCACGACGTCTATTGTTGTTATCATCATCATCGCCGTCGGTCTTCCATAATCAACCCGGCAATATTCGTGGAGAGTGGTTCTGCAGCGGTTTCAGATCGCGTTCGAATCACCGAACATCGCAGCGTCGCATCAGCACCGCCGATGTTTGCTTTCTTTTTGGGATTATTTAAATATTTGCCGCGAATATTAAACAAAAAGACATTGCACTAATCAGAGGCGTTCGCGCTCTCCTCTCAAACGCGACGTTCGGACACTCGAACATTAGGAGCGCATACTGCGGAACATTTATTCGGATATCGGCACGCGCAGCTCGGTCATTTAGCTCGCAGTATTCGGATGTTGGAGCGCGATAATTTGGGTAATTACATTTAGTAGCAGCGTCTGTAACGGGGGACAGCTGGACCATCCGTCGAGAGACACCGCAAAACCGCAATTCAGGATTTCGGAACCGAGTAAGGGTACGTTCAGGATCGTCAAACGCGAGTTCGGATGTACTGGCATCCGTCGGGATAACAGTGCTACTTTGTTATATTGCACGCCCGAGTTGGCATAGCAGAACGCCGAGTGGGTGTGGTGTCAGTGCTGGCTGTGGCAGCGTTACACGACGAGGCGGCTCGCCTTACGACTTCCCGTGGCGATGAACAGTGGAGCGACACAATTATTGGTGTAGAGTCGCGGTTGTTCTCACGCAGAGTTATCATTGAAATTCGCCGGAAGCGACATCGTCTCAATAGATTAATAAATAAATAAAACTCGGAAGCGACTTTTTAAAACAAATTTGGTAGCTAAACAACAACTCTGTTATATTAGTCTCGTGGCACGTAGAAAGAGAGACACGCGCGCGCGCATCGCTGGATACAGACTGTGGACTGTGGAGTGTTGATTGTGCGAAATCCTTCGGAAGAGACAAACTTGGATACGAGAGCATACCCCAAATAGCTCGGACATTTCACGGGGAGAGGCCAAAACGCAGAACAGTTCGAGAAATGTTGGCCTCCCGATCGCTGTAAAGGAGGCAATTTTTTTAGATAATTTTCTTTTCTTTCTGGAATATTCTCTCTTCGACTAACACAATAAAATCCATAAGGGGAGTGGGGTGGGGGTGGGGGAGGCCATACGTGGTTCAAAAATACTTCTCCGGAGACAGACAGTGTTAGACGTAGGAGAGCACATTCTCTGTGGTCGTCATGGGGTGCACCGTCAGCGCCGAAGACAAAGCAGCTGCCGAACGGTCGAAGATGATCGACCGGAATCTGAGAGAAGACGGGGAGAAGGCCGCTCGCGAGGTGAAGCTGCTCCTTCTAGGTGAGACAATTGCACTACATTTGGCTTTTCAGCATCATCATCACCATCATGATGATGATCCATCTGCAATTAGGAAAACTTCATCAACGTCGTTGTTGTCGATCGCGCGCAAGTTCACACATGCCCAGAGCTGACTCTTGCTCGGGTTGGTGTGTGGTGTGTTGTTGAGAAAGACAAAGATCACCACCCCCCACCCCGTATAGCCTCAAACAGACTGTTGGCGGCGCAAGTGTTGTTGGCGAGTAGCACCTATGAAGGCCGGCACAGTACTGGGGGTGGGTGGTCAGCACCACGCTTACGGACGGACAGAACGAGGCTTGGTAGAACACGACACTCGTGAAAAAGAAGAAAGGGCTTCGTAGCTCAACGGATTTCTCCACAACAAATAAAGATTATGATTCTGAACTCGTCCATTGACGAATTAAATACAAACAATGCGTGCGAGAATAAGCCGTAAAACACACACAATTGCTCGCAGCTGTTTATTTTACGAATACGCGCGCGTGAGAACTTGCGTTAGTCCCATCGCCGCGGGAGGAGCACCCCTTTGAGAATTGTCACTGCCCGTGGTGGCGCTGCTCGCCAAAATTGTGTAACATTGCAACACACTTGCCCGCTAGCAGCAACCGTGACTGGGGCATGTGTGAAGGCTGTAACGGATACACAACAAAAAGGGTCTCACCACCACTACTCCGACATACTCTGTGCATTTGCAAACACGTGGTGGGGGGGGGGGGGGCGGTTGGGACAACACGTGCCTCGCACATTTGGCAGGTCGCATGCGCTTGGGTAAAATGTGAGCGCTACCACCTCTTCAAGATGCCTGGCTAGCTTGGAAGAAGAGGCTGCAATAGTCTAAGCCAGGGTGTCTTCTTCATGGCAAGGCCCGCGAGCCACTGGCGGCCCTTGAGGGCCTTTAGTTGCGGCCCTCCTGACGTGCGGTCTTCCCCGACAAATACACAGCCAGTGACAACACCCCCCCCCCCCCCATCGTGCTACTGTCAACCCCCCCCCCATGGTTTCAAATGTGTGACGGAGCTCACAGACCGATGATATCTTATCGGCGAAAGTGCCCCCACCCCCGCCGCCGCATCTGAAAATGAGTGTGAACAGGCAATTGCAGGGCTGCACCTTTACCTTGACGCTACGTTGTACCGTGTCTATTAACTACCACAGTGGGCCAATAATGTTTGTGTGTAACGCGCGTGGCGTCACTCCACGTCGACCAGCCTCCCTCATTAATAATCATGACGAGGTGACGTCACTCCACATCGAACAGCCCTCATTAATAATCATGAAGGGGTGACGTCTTCAAATGGACACCTCCTTCATTAATAATAATTAGCCAGTGACGTCACTCCACATGGGGGCGGGGGGGGGCGCCTCCTCCCCCCTCCTGGGCGTCAACCTACAACCCTCACTACAAAGGCAGAACCCTCACGTCACGTGATCTCCGTGACGCCGTTGAGATATCGAAGTAAAAAGGACGTCATGATGAACAAGGGATTATAACCTTTAAATGAAATAAGTCTGTGTCACCGCGCCCTTACAAACTGCACACGAATGGATGCAATGAATATCACGTCGCGGTCTGCTTTTCGCTTGCAAGTTTCAGATTTACTGCAATACATCCGTCCTTGTATATATATATGTGTGTGTTTCTGTTGCTACAAAAGTGACATGCTAATTTATGGCGGAGGGGGATAGAAGCTGTACTCTTATCCAGGCTGACTTCACGGGGCCTTATTGGCCGATCCTTTAATCGGCCAATAGCCCCGTGAAGACCCATGGGTGCCATGCGTCTAATAGGATGAAGCTGTTTCTTGTTGACGGTAGGTTGAGTGAAGTTCTTTCGGGAGACCTCTTCGCAGTCAGTTTGTGCTCGCGTCAAATCCGCGGAGAGTTGTACATAATAGGATGAATAATCTGTGATGCCTGCGTTAAGCACGGATGGCTGTGCGGATAATGGGAAGGTCCATTTGGGTGAGCAGATAATAGAGAGAGTACGATAGAATTGTGGAGAACACGTTTCGCCGTATCGGGAACTGTCAAACGCTGGCAGTTGTGCGCTTCTGCAGCCGTCTGGAACGTTCTTCCTGCCTATATCAGGCAGCCACTGGAGCTAGGCACTTTTAAATAATTGAAAACTCATTTATTTAGAGCTGCGTATGTGTTTAGTTAGTTTTCCTTCCCCCCGCACCTCCGATTAGCACGGTGTGGTTACGTACGGTGCCAAAGAAGTTCAGCGTACATGCATTGGATGGGTGGGTAAGTGGGTGGGTGAGTGGGTGGGTGAGTGAGTGAGTCGGTGAGTGTGTGATTGGGTGGGTGAGTGAGTGAGTGGGTGAGTGAGTGAGTGGGTGAGTGAATCGGTGAGTGTGTGAGTGGGTGGGTGGGGGAGTGAGTGAGTGGGTGAGTGAGTGAGTGGGTGAGTGAGTCGGAGAGTGTGTGAGTGGGTGGGTGAGTGAGTCAGTCGGTGAGTGTGTGAGTGAGTGGGTGGGTACGTGGGTGGGTGAGTCGGTGAGTGTGTGAGAAGGTAATTCGGCGAGTTCATAGGTGAGCGAGTTAGTGAGTGTGTGAGTGAGTGAGTGGTGGGTAAGTGGGTGGGTGAGTGTGTGAGTGAGTGAGTGAGTCGGTGAGTGTGTGAGTGAGTGTGTGAGTGAGTGTGTGAGATTCCTACTTGTTCAATGTATGCACCGTCCCGCCATAGTGAATTCCTTGTTTGTGCAAACTTACATGGCGATTAAAACCGTTTCTGATTTCTGATTCTGATTTCTGAGTGAGTGAGTCGGTGAGTGTGTGAGTGAGTGTGTGAGTGAGTGAGTCGGTGAGTGTGTGAGTGAGTGTGAGAGTGAGTGGGTGGTTGAGCGATTGGTTTGTTGTCCTTCCCCCGCACCTCCGATAAGCACGGTTGGCTACGTGCGAAAGAAGTTCAACATGCATCCACACATGAGGATGCATAAGGGTTGCCTTGTTACAATAACAAGGCTGAACGTAAAACACAGAGCACTGGCACACTTGTAAGGTGCATCTACCTTGTCTGCATTGAACACAACAACATGTGTAACAGCCTCTAAATACGTCTGCAGAGCATCTATAATTACAAGCATGACTAATCAGGAAAATGCATGTAAATGGGTAATAATGTGCAATTAATTATTTCACACCTCATTAGAAGCCAATAACCTGGTTCTGGCGGTAGAGTGGCAAGCAGGATGGTAGCAAAGGGCTAATTAATGTGTAGCTGGCAACAGTGGGCGGTGGCCAATTGTGAGAAGGGGCTAAATGAGGTTTATCTTTTAAATGGGGTGGCATTTCGTTCAGTGGGCGCCACGGAGGCGAGTGTTTGAATGCCTCGCCTGGTATGCAGGAGGTTGTGGGTTAGATCCTGACCCTGACACCTGCTGTATATTTGCAGTTTGCACGTTCACGCCGCGGTCGCGTGGATTCGTCTCGGGATCCTTCGGTTTTCCCTCCACAAGTAGAAACGTGCACCACGCGTTTAGAGTATTTGGCTGCTATAAATGTCCACGTGATAAGCCACTTCGTTGAGCTATCATTTTGTGGGCTAGGTCGCTTGTGAAGAAGAGCTACATAGCTCAGTGGGCCTTACCTGGTAAAATAAAACAAGTGTATAGTTTAAATCCCCCTCTTCCTGGGATATAATATTTTGAATGAACAATGCCAGGGTGGTGCCTGATTAATACCTGGAAGGGAGGCTGCCTGGGAATACGTCTGTACGGTATTTTGAACTTCTTTCACACCGTACGTAGCCAACCCTTGCTAATGGGGGCCTCTCTGGGGTTTGTATGCGTGTACTGTGTCGAACTTCTTTCACACCGTACGTAGCCAACCCTTGCTAATGGGGGCGTCTCTGGGGTCTGTATGCGTGTACTGTGTCGAACTTCTTTCACACCGTACGTAGCCTAATCTTTGCTAATGGGGGCGTCTCTGGGGTCTGTATGCGTGTACTGTGTTGAACTTCTTTCACACCGTACGTAGCCAACAGTTGCTAATGGGGGCGTCTCTGGGGTTTGTATGCGTGTACTGTGTTGAACTTCTTTCACACCGTACGTAGCCTAACCTTTGCTAATGGGGGCTTCTCTGGGGGTTTTCCCATTTCTGCCCAACAAGAAGCCAACCCACTCATGGCAGGAATTGGGCTGAGCATCCCAATGTAGCAGGAGAGTGTTGAGACTCTGTAAGGCTTGCCAAGGTAAAATGCATTATTATTATTTCGAAGCGAAAATAACAACACGGAAATTCCACCCGTGATGTGTTGATTATTATTTTCAGTGGCAATCTGATGAAGGCCTCCTCACGACTGTATCAGTCATCGGGTGTTGTTTGACCATACTTCACCATACTAGCCAGTACCCGTGCAGTATGTAAACATCGCCAGGAGGGAGACAAAGGCGGCAGGGCTTTGTGCTGGACAACCAACCCCCTCGTGTGCCGTGCCGGCCTTCATTAGTGCTGCTCGCTAACAGCACTTCCCCGACAGTTTGTTAAAACTATATGGGGGACCTTTGTCTTTGCGTGCATGTCTGGACATGACTAAAACGCTGCCCTGTCAATGGCCGATGTAGATTCCTCCATTTGTGAAAACCTCATGTTTAACACTTAAAACTCGCTGGATTCGCATCGGCCATAGGTGCAGTGCACCACATCGCATGCCACTGTAAACTGTAAAGGTGCAGACCTGAAATGTCTTACATTGCGTGTTCACAGTCAAAGCGTTGGTACCCCTACATCTTCGGTGACGTCTGGGCCAGCGTAGAAGAGTAGGCCAAAAACACCCTCTCTGGGAGTCTCTGCGAGCAAGGCTCGCCTCTGGTGTGGGTGACCCTTCTGCCAGCAGCGGCGCGAGCAAGTTAATTGCAGGACTGCACCTTTACCTTCACGTTTTACTCTCGGCTGGATTAGCTTCCCCGGATTACTGTTCACGTGCGTTCACTTCACAGGGCGAAAGAAAAAACCGTGCCCGTGCCTCCGTGACG